TCCAAGCATCCATGTCCAATTTGGCCATTTGTGGTGCGCACTCCCCCCTGTTCCTCCAACGTCAAGGACGACAGAAACCAGGTCATCGAGTGCTGGATCGCCTTCACCAAGCCAGGAGCCCAAGCTGCCCATTCTTTACCTAGAGGATCCAACGTCGCCGATAGGACATCATTTGCAACAGATGGCAATGTTTTGATAATAACGCTCTCACCAGCAGCAAACGCTGTCGTTTGCATCGCAAAGCAAAAAAACGATAAATCTTTAGAATTTTGGATTTCAGCGACTTTGGGGTGAACTTTGTTAGCTGCTATATGTCACTGACATAAAGTTCCCTTATCAGAGCGTGGTCGTTTCCACCAAACGTGTTCTCCAAACAGCGCCCGTTTCTCAGCGTGGCCGTTTCCGTGAAACGTTGTTTTTAAAGAGCGCCCGTTTCTCAGCGTGGTCGTTTCCGTGAAACGCTGTTTTTAAAGAGCGCCTCCATAGGCACCGTGGTCGTTTCCATGAGAAGTTGTTATTTAACAACGTTTTCCATGTATCTTTTGAAGCAGGGCTGGCGTGTATGTGTTTGAAGGTCAAGGGCTTTTCAATTTTTCTTGAAGTTTGGCTCGCGCCGTTCGCTGCTTCCTCACAGCATGTATTTATTTTTTTAACTAAATTATAGACACCGCCTCCACACACACAAACAGACCACTAAACTTAGACACCCCCCCGGTACTTAGACACACGAACACACACACGCAGAGCAAACCAAGATGAGAAGTCCTGCGGGCACCGTCATGGCGTGCCAAATCGTCAAAGCCCCCAAACAATATTTTTAAACCCGAAGGTTGGGATGGACCATTTGGATTCCATGAGGGTGCCTTTTCACAACGCTCCTGGGTAGTTGCGATGCTTTTTCCTCCGCGAGTTGGAGGCGTGCTTGTGTCGGCTTGTGTCGGGTGACAAGCTTTCCCCGTTCGATCCACTTGATCCCCAGGGCATGGAGTTCATCTTGTTTCCAATTCCATGTGTTTTCTCATGTTGACAACCCCATGCAGTCCCTCCAAAAAACTACATATCGTTCAGCTCCCGATGCCTCTGCACCATGAGCGCTAAAACCAACAAGTACCTTTGGTACACGCGGTACGTAGCAGTCGCTCCGTGGCAGGCAGTAGCTATTGCTTTGATCTGCCCCAGGAACCCTTCCTCGTCCCATGTCGAAAACGAATTGATGTTTATCCGCCATGCTTTCAACTGCATGGCTTGGTGGTACACATAGTGATGTTTGGGACGGAGCTTGAAAAGGAGAAGCCTTTCCCTATGGAAATAAGCTGCCAACCACGAATAGGTCTTGAGGTGCAGCCTCAAACTGTCACTGGCTTCATTTGCAGCAGTGGGATCTAGGACGAGTCCGCTGTTGTCGCATAGGTCGATGCACCGCTGCAAGCTGTAGGCGCAAGTTGCGAGCACGTGGGTGATTCGATCCTGGGCGCGGGATAGGTTCCACGAAGGACCAAACCACGCACTTGGTGAACGCAAGTGAAAAACAAACACATAAAGTTCGCGGGGTTCATCTTGGCCACGTGATTTGGCGCTTGATCGCTGCATTTTTGGGTCTTCTTCGCAATCCAGAACACGATCAGCTTTACATGGGAAGCTTTGAACCGTGTCCCAAGCTGGGCGTAGTCATCTTTACCCAAGTTTGCCTCTGTCAAGACAGGTTTCTTTGGCATGAAGAACCTAGGCAGTTTCCAGTGGCTTACAAACATTGAAGAGGTTTGGAACATTTGGGGTGGATTGCTTGAGCACGTTTTTTTAGTGGAACTATCTCCAGCACCGTAACAGTATTTAAGCAACAACAAAACATATTGTGGTATAAGCAAACTTGAAAACGTTGCTATCCAATCCAACCCAAACACCCACACGCACGACAATCTCTCACCATCTCCCTTTGAACAGCTGCAAGCTTGCAGTCCATGTCACCCACCACATGGTCATACCACCCGAAGCGGATGAGAACTTGGATGGATGAACCACATAAATCTCTTGCTATGCCCAAAAAGACATTGTGCATAAAGTCGAATGCACAGTTCTCCAACCGAAACCCTTCGACCTGAAGCCATGTCGTTTTTGTGCCCGGCATCGCCATATAGTCTTCGTGAGAGACCGTCGTAAGTGGCCAGGCTGCTTCCTGACTAAAGTTCTTGTAGTGCATAGCTGAATCACTGGCACCTGAACTCACCAGGCAAGAGTCACAAATCCTCAGCTGTTACGAAGTGTCCGAATGTGTCCGAACAGAGGGTTTGCTGATTGGAAGGCTCCCTCCACCCATTTTGATCTGAGTAAGTAAGGTGTTGTTGGGCGGCACATGTGAAAAAAAGAACCTTGGCATACTGTATGCGAGCCAGATTGCAGTTTTGACTTGTAGTACCTTGAAAAGGAATGCATCCACTTGCGAGCCTTTAGGTCCGCCTTGAAAGCAAAGTACGCAGCCCTTAGCAAGGTTGATTGAACAGCATTATTTACCTCTCTATTCTATAGGGTATGTTTTATCACCAAAACCAGAAAATGATCAAAGATACCCTTCACTCGGACGGGTCACTTCCAAGGGCCCAAAGACACTCCTCTCATTTCAGCCCTGTACCCAGTCAAGGTCTCACCGTACATCCCGACGTCAGGCCCTACTCCCGAGATGGAGCATTTGAGCGACCAGGCCACCAGCTGCGCCACTGTCTGGTTCACAGACTTTTGAGCCTCACTGAAACGGGAACGAGTGAATAGGTTCACCAACCGGCATACGTTATGTGTAAACAGGCTTGGGGCTTTGGGGCATGAGGGTTGCAAAACGAAGGCCAGGGAGCTTGAGAGGAGCGCATCCACCGCTCAGGAATTATAGCAATGGGGAACTTGCTCAGAAGTGTAGTCTGTATGCATCCATTGCACCCAAAAAGTGATGAAATGCTATAAACATAGTGCTCGTCATCTCTGAAGAACTGGGCTCCATCCCCATGTACCGTTAAAGGCACCAATGATGCTAGCGAAACATTTTCTTGTTCAAAGCATGGATGGTTTCTCCACGGAGCTAGGTTCTGCGCATGCCTCCAAAACCCAACACGACCAGACTCGCTTATGTTCCCAAGAAAGATGCTGTTAAACGCGAATGCATCTTGCGACAAGCAGTGAATCAACTCGTGCGGCAGGAGCACCGAGACCGTGTGAGGCTTCACCTCGTGGCCCTCAACCTCAGATCGGGAACGGGCTGAGCAGAGATGGACCAAAAGGTTGCTTTTCTTGACGCGTGTACCCAACGAACTCTGTAGCAGAACACCCTGATTTTTGTAACAAGAATTTGGAGATTCATCAACACTGTGTAGGGTTGAAGTCGAAGACCCACGAAAAAGAATATGTACACCCCGATTTTGTAACAAAAGCACTTGAAGATTCATCGTCACTGTGTAGGGCTGAAGTCGAATACCAAGCCCTTCCAGCCATCTATGTAAATCACGCTCGCAATTCTGAGGGTTTGCTCCATTTGTTCCCAAAGAGCTAAAAGCGCGAACAGCTTCGTGATCAGTGCCATCCGTCACCATGCAGTTCGCGAGATCAACTGCTCCGATCACGCTGAGCTTGCCCGTTCCAATAAGCTCTACCAATTTGGTAACAGTTTGGGACTCATTGTAGGTCTCCAATCGTTGTCTCTTCCTGCCCGTTGTATCGAATAGACATGAATGGACTCTTTATTTTTGGAAGAGACATGAGAGATGTTCTTGAAAAGACACTCAACCTTTGATTTCTGAGCTACCGCATTCTTAAAAGATGACCCGACCTTCGATTCGATTTCTGAGCTACCCAGGCCGGCCTTGACGATTGCAAGCCTGGCTGAGTTGGACGAAGCAAAGATGGATTGGGTTGAGGCGCGCGTCGTGCCTCCGACAGAACTCTTGGTGTCTAAATATGGCTTGTCGCAACTTTCAGAGGGTGTGTCCAAAGTGTACGACTTTCAAAGAGTGCCCCAAAATATTTGGAAATTTGCAAGTATATGATATGCAAGTATGGTTTTCCTTTTCAAGTCGCACGGCCGTGTTCGAACTGTGTTCAGATGACTCTGCACAAATGCAAGAATGTCAAATCACTGCAGCTGGCTTACAGTCATCCAGCACCTAATCACGGCTTCGCCCATAGCTTCTTGATTGAAGCTCCCCGAAAGCTGACTAACTCAGGTAGAGAGCAGTCGCACTTAAATGGATCACTTGGTTTTGGCACCAGAGTCCTTGGCAGCTTTCTTGCTCTTTGCCTTCTTCGTGCCCCGCTTGCTTGCGAGGAAAGCTGCAGCCGCTGCCTGGACAGGTGCGCTGAGCTGACAGTTTGGTAAGTCTCAATCCCTTCGATCCCAATAGTCGCACTTTTGATGTTCAGTCATGTTTGAGCAACAAAAACAACCTTGACGCTTGTCACCAAACTTGCGATGAAGTCCAATGAGAGGAGAATAATTGTTCAATTGGCTATGCAGAAAGGTTTCAATCAAAAGTATGCCTGCAAATCTATAGGATGTTTTTGAGATTGGGATGAACACGATTTGGATGCACCTGCAATGACATCGGCCACAATGAGTTTCAATCAAAAGTATGCCTGCAAATCTAGGATGTTGTTGAGGTTGGGATGAACACGATTTGGATGCACCTGCAATGACATCGCCCACAATGAGTCATGGACTTGGCCCGCCCAGCCTTCATTTTCTTCAGCACTTGAACTTTGGATTCCAGCTCCGCAACGAAGGGTTTGAGATCTTTGTCGCTGGACTTCTTCTTGAGCGCAAGTTGAACGTTTTTGTAGACTTCTTCAGTCGCGTTGGCATGCTTCAAGAGGGCCCCACTGAGATCATCGGCGTAATCTAGGCCAGCAAGGGTGATCGAATCAGTCCTTGCCTGGCCGGCCAACTTCAAAGCCTCAGTACTCCCCTCTTGAAGCTTCTCCTGAATAGTCTGCGGCTCAACTTTCTTCGACTTCTCATCCTCCTCAGGCTTGGGCACTTTCTTCTTCACCACCGCCTGGTGAGCAGGGACCGTCAGAACACTTGAGCAGGACGACCAGTTTTGGAGATTTTAGGGACATGTGAAACCTGGTGTGTGTGTGTGAAATGAACAATACATTTTGTTTGGCACAGGCCTTACCCATAGCATCCAATAGAGCCTTGCTACCAGCAGCCGAAATGGTTTCCACAGCTGGCATGGCCCCACCACGCATGAAACCGTTGTCTGAGTCCGTTATGGCTTCTAGCAAGCCACTATCCACAGCAGTACTTGCCGATAGCTGCGTGCTTTCGGATGTGATATCCTTCTGGGTGATGGTCTTTGCAGCCGGCATGTAATACCAAGCTTCCTTACACCCAGGCCATACAATGCTTTATGAACAAATTCAAGACACCTCATCTTTTAATTGGGAAGTTGGACCCCAGAAACGCTTTATTGAATTTGAGCTGAGTTTCATCGGGGTCATCCGGGAAGTCAGTGCTGGGGTACCACATGCCAGATTCCTTGCGAGCTTTGATCAGGGCCTCATACTTTTCTGGAGTGTGGGTCTGCTTCAAGTCCTTCCCTTGGATTGAGGTCATGCCCTTGGTGCTCTCATTCTGCGTTGTGTGGAGGCGAGAGACTGCGAGCACGACATTATCCCACGACTTGCCCTGGTCCAACCACATGTTGAAGCAATCAATTTTGTTGTTTGTGAAGTAGTCATGGACACGAAACCGGCCCTGCGATCGAACAAAGGAATCCCATTCCTTTTTGTTCGTCACGCCTTAGCATGATTGATGTGCAACATATCTACGAACACTTTAGTTGGAAGGCAAGATCAGGGTCAAGAAAGACTGGAAACTTGTTTGTTCAAAGATGAGTTACTGTTTCGTCGCGTAGGGACAGGGGCAATAGGCTTCTCCACAGCATCCAGGACCACAGGCACCAAAGCATGACACTCTGGCTCCCCTGCCTCCTTCTCTTTCTCTTCCTCCTCCTCTTCCTCCTCCTTCTCCGCTTCACCTTCGTCACCTTCATCTTCCTCCTCTTCCTCCTCCTGGCTTTGGTCACTCCCTTCAGCTTCAGACTCCTCGTCCTCCTTCTCTGACTTCTCCTTCTCTTGGTCAATCTCTTCTGCTTCTTCGTGTTCATCGGATGACTCTCCATCCTCAGCCTCAGACTTGGCGCCCGCAGACTCGCTCTCATCCTCATCCTCAGGCTCAGAGCACTCCGACTCATTGTCAGAGCCTGTAGCGTCAAGGCAGGCCTGCAACTCTAGCAGGCGTTTCTTCTGACTCTTGGCGCTCAAATTGTCTGAAGGTGCAGGCGACGGCCTTGGGCGCTTTGTGCGCTGAGGGGTTTCGAACAAGTGCTCGATGTCTTTCTTGCGGGCTGGGAGGTACTTCACCGACTCCTCCTTCTTGCTCTGCTTCTTCACCGGCTTCTCCTCTTTCGACTTGCTTCTTGTCCTTGCGCTTGCTGCGATTGCCTCCAACTTCTTGTCCAACTTCTTTTGTAATTCCCTCACCTTGTCGTTGGAACTGGAACGCGCCTTCTCTGCTTTGACATTGGAGTCCTTCCTGCTTCCACCCTTCTGGTCAATCCGCTTCTCTTTGCTCTTCCCTTCTTTCTCTGCTTTGCGCTTCTCTTCTTTCTCTGCCGCTTTGCTCTTCTCTTTCTCTGCTTTTCTCTTCTCTTCTTTGACCTTGCCCTTGACCTCATCATTCTTCGCACTCTTCTTCATCTCTTCCCGCGCCTTCTCCTCCAGCGCCTTCTTCTCCTTCCTCGCTTTCTCTGCCTTTCCCTTCAACTTCACATCATCCACTTTCTTCTCAGTGCTGGGCCGCCTCAAAGCAGATGGCCTGGCAACCTTCTGTTCAATCTGCTGTTCTGAAGACTTCCCCATCACCCGTCGACGTGGCGCTGACATCAAGGTACACT